GAGAGTTGTTTAATTTTCAATTAGGCTGAACCATGGTAGCTGGACCTGTGGTCAGGCACCATTCTATGGGTCAGCACAAAGGTATTTGTATTAGAAGTGATTACTTTTCAATCAGTAGACTTAGACACAAACAAGATTCTCAATAATGGAGGTGCGTCTTGTCCAATCAGGTGACAGTCATAGAGACAAAGTCCCAGAAAGAAAAAGACACTCGCCCATCCAGGTTCCTTTAGATACAAAGAAGAAGTTGACTTTTGTGGGAATTTCTAGCCTGCCACCCTGCCCTACAGGTTCTGAAACTGCCAGATGCTACTAAACAGCCCTCTGGAGAGTACCCCTTTCCCTGTAGCAACTGGTGTATCCACAGGTCATTGCTCTAATTGTCTTGAAAACAGACAAGGATGTGGCCACAGAACCCTTGGCCCCAGACAGATGATAGGAAATAGCCAGGCATGGTGGCTCATTACCTGTAATGCCAATACCAAAGAGGATGAGGTATAAGATTGCCATGGATTTGAGGCCAACCTGGGTTACAGAATCAGATCTTATCTTAAAAAAATAAAACTAATGATGGACATGAAGTAGGGTGTTACACTTTGGAGAGTATAATCTTGGGGATGCTTGTTACTACAGCACTGAAAATCCTATCTGACTAATACACAATGATACTACCTCATTCACAGGATGGGATGAAGATGAAATGAAGAGAAAGAAGCCTTTTAGATGAGCAGCAGGAGTCTCGTTATCTCTAGGCCGGGGCCAATAGAGTTTCTGAGTCTTTAGGGCAGAGGACAGAAGGAAAAATGAGATGATGTGGCTTTCTCAACAGCATGTACCTGTTAAGAGGGACGTTAGGTTTCCAAAAGGGGTAAACTCGGGCCACAGAATCCCGCATCTGCTCCTGCTGGCCCAGGTAAAAGTAGGCATCATGGGCAAACCTCAGGGCCAATATATCTGTTGGGTAATCCAGGAGAATCTGTTCCCAGAGATCACAAGCTTTGGAGAAGTTCCTGCAAGACAAGAACACACTGAGCATGAAGTCCACATCCACGGGTCTGGGGGTGGTGGAAAGCCATCCTATGTCACTATCTGCCTGGGCTGCTTTAAGCAGTTATATCTGGGGCTGGGGAGATGGCACAGTGGGTAAGAGTAAATGCTGCACGAAGATTAGGACCTGAGTTCAAATCCCCAGCAGCAGAGTAAAATTCAGGCATGGCCATGTCCCTGTAACCCCAGTGGTGGAGAAAGGAGGGTGTCTGGGGCTTGCTGGGCACCAGTCTGCTGAAAGACCATGAGCTCTAGGTTCGGTGAGAGACCCTGTCTCAAGGGACTAAGATGGAGAGCCATAAGATGGGACACTTGACATCCTCCTCTGGCCTCTGAGCATAGGGCACATGAATTCTCACCAAGACAGACATGTGAACACACACCATAACACACCCCTGCACACAAAATCAATAAAATTATATATATGTTAGCTATGTGTGTTTGTCAGTGGGAGCACGAAACTAAAGGGGGTGCAATCTGAATGGGGGATAGAAAAGGAAATGGACTATGTGTGATGAAAACAGAGGGACATTCTTTGGGGGAGGAAGAAAATAAGCCAGAGTGGGGCAGGGGCTTGCGGACAGACAGTAGGGGCACTGGTGAAGGAGAGTAAGGTATGATAACATCCACTGCTTTGTATACTAAGAGTAATTCATAAAAAGAGAAAATGTATCCAATTAAGAAAAAAATTCCATTGAACTAGTTGGAGCTTGCTTAGCAGGCAATGCTCTGGAGTCCATACCCAACACTGCACAGGAAAAACAAACGTTATAGACATATATAGGCACACATTTTCTACAATAGGTTGTACCTCATAACATTCAAAAACCAATAGGATCTGGAGAGATGGCTCAGTGGTTAACAGCACTTGCTGCTCTTGCAGAGGACCCAGGTTCAGTACTTCGCTTCCCTCATGCAGCTTAAAACCATCTTTAACTCCAGTTACGGGAGTTCTGGTGCCTTCCCCAGGTCTGCTAGGGCACCAGGCACACATGTGATACAGACATACATACATATAAGGAAAACACTCAAGACACATAATATAAAAATAAATAAATCTTCAAAGAAGAAGAAAGATAAAACCAGGTTTGTTTGTGTGTGTGTGTGCAAGCGCGCGTGCGTGCCTGTGTGCATGCATGCACGGGCAGGCCAGAGGTCAACATCAGGTGTCCCCTTCAAGTGATCTCCCCTCATTTCCATAGTTTCTCACTGAACCTGGACCTTACCAATTCAGCCAGACTGGTAGGCCAATAAGCGCCAGGGAT